CGGCTTTAGGCCCGTTAGTTTATGAAACGAGTCAAAAAAAAAGAGATTGCAAAGTTGTTGCCGGTGTTAGCAGGGTACCCAACTCAGCGATGCTGGAGTTCATCTTGCTTCAATTGCTACGTGAAACATCCATTTTAAGCCACGGGCTCTCCTGGGGGAACCAGGGAGCTGTTTGCAAGCGTGTGTCTCAAGTCAGCTGTGTTTCCAAGGAAGTCAGCACGACGCTTTGAGGACACAGTGTGTTCCGGTACAAGTAACTGGACTCTTATTTCTGCCTTCATATGCAACACCATGGCAGTTCATCCAGGTTTAATACTGCCAACAGCGTTTATTCTATGTGTAAGCAAAGCGGGACAGCTGCAAGACAGCCATGGCCTTGCTGCTTGTCCTCCCGTGCTACAGCCTGGGAAAGACAAACTGCCACCGCCACTGAAGAAGCAGCTGAGCTGTGCAAGATGGCAGTCATTCCTGTAGGAGAAAAGTGCATGGCCTCTCTCCTGCCATCACCAGCTCCTGCTCTCATCCCCTCCCCTGCCCACCCCTTCCGCAAAATCACGAGCAACCCAGTGCTTTTTTCGCTTCATTTTGTTCATATGGATGAGAAGTCGTGATCGAGGTCTGGCTGTAAGATGGTGCTTGTGACTGTTACTGAGTAGGAAGGAAGTGAAGCAACCCAGAAGCAGAAATAACAGCTATGTCAACAGGGCTGTTTCTTCAAACTGTGTAATCTTCTAAAGCAATATTGTAAACGACCATTACCTTAGTTATAATCTCGATGAAATATCTAAGACTGTGAAAGGACAGAAATAGCTGTCAACTCTGATCGATGTTCATCCATGGAATACATATAAATTTCAGTGGCCAGTTAAAGATCAAATAACCATGTGTTTCACATTTAGGTGGAATGGTATGGTACACACGTGCATTTCCAAATTTATGTAGCCGTTTGGTAACAGGTAAAAGAACCATCCACGTCAAAAAACATATTTCTCAGTAAGAAAGGCAAATATTGAGTATGCCAGACTCCTGTTTACTTTCTTTTTGATTGACAAGTCTCTGCGGAAAGAAAGTTCCTGCTCCTATGAGTGAAGTCTAGTGGATAAGTCTACAAATTTACCAGACTTTTTTTATAAATCCCAAAGAATTCCCTGCTGGTTTGAAAACAACAGCAATGAGTGATGCCACATTTTTTTCTACAATAAGAATGTGTCTGTCCACAGCAACAATACTGTCCTGAAGTCAGTTTTCCCTGAAGTAAATTCCAGGATTGCTGACAAGCTGGTATGTGACTATGAGTTACATTTTCTTTGTTGAGATGTGATTCATACTGTTCAAAAGGCTGGAAAGTTCCAATTTATCTTGTTTTTAGTTCAGATCCCATCACCAGTCACAGTTGTCTCACTGAATTGTATATTTTACTAACTTCTTCCATGTCCTTATTATAGGTAAAGTTCCATTCAAATGTTTCCATTCCCATGGAAACCATTCTTGTTCATTCAAAAGAATTACTTTGAAAATATACACAGTGCTGGTGAAATCAGAAATGTTGGATACAAATTTTGGAATAAAATTCAGAATAGCTATTCACTTGACATATTTCCGAAGGTATGAGGGTGTTCAAGTGCAGCTGAACTCATATTCCCTTGTAGAGGAGTGTCAAGAGTTACTGGTTATCCTGCTCCACCAGAACTGGATAACCTGGTTGCCTGAACTGCCAGAGTTAAACATTAAGTTGTACCATCTAAAACATACACAGCAGATACTGCACAGTCACAGTCTGGATGCTGCTGCCTGTCATATTTTCTTAGTGTTTGTTTGTTTTTTTATTACTGCTTGAGGGATTTGGAATCCCAATTAGAAAATACTATTTATATCAGAGAGTGTTCTCTTGAATCAAAAGAATAAATCCTCGAAATGGTCTGTGTTCAGTCCGGCATGTTTCAGTGTACCTTTTCTGAATTTGGGGTTGAATAATTTGGCAGCTGTTTTGAGGTCAATGATTAATGAAGTCATTAGAGTGACACACAAGATTATGGTATCCATGTCTATTTATCATTCCACACAAAGTATGTACATGGCATATCTTGCCATAGCACATGGGAACTTTGGAACAAAAATTCAAATGGTAGTAGTAACATCTACTCTGGTGTACCAAAACTCTCTGGAGATGGAAAAAGAACAAAGGAAAATGACAGAAAATATGTCTGAGAAAACTGCCTTTTGACATGTCCTGATGTCTCCACGCACAGAAATTTGAACATTTCAGAAAATTTCCTAGACAACCAACTGTCATTTTCACCTCATTACAGAGGTGTCTCCTCTGTTAGCTAATGGGGTTGCTGAAGACTCACAAGATGTCCCTGCCAGTCTTTCTGCCCTGGTATTTCTGTTTGACTGCTTAGAAGCCCTCTTAAAACATGGATGTACTACTGAAACATTCTTGCTCCTATTCACTTCCTCTTGCTGTATCCTGACACCACAAGTCTATGCAACACCATATCACAACACACAATGAAAGGAAGCAGTGACAGGAAACCACAAAAGCCACTGAACACTTCCCCCCCCTCATTTCTTCAGGTTTATCGTTTTCATTTTGTAACTATGAAAGACTGACTTAAATGCGTGAACCTGTCTGTGGGCATGATTTGTAAAGCTTCATCCCCTTACAGTTTAGTTTACTCATGCTGTGCAAAGTGCTGCAATGTTGAGCTATCCTAATAAATACTCGGTAAGCTGACTTGAGTGTCAGAGCAGTAAAAAAGAAGTTATGTCAACTAGGAAGCCCTGTCTTGATATGACTATCTATGCTACAGTGCTTCTAATACTCAGACATGCTTGTTTAAAACTACTTCAGGTATCTCTGCTCCTGAATGCATTGTTAAACAGAAAGCACAGCTGTTCTTAAGAGTTAACAGAGTGCAACAAGTTCTCAGAGACTCCATTTGTCTTATTTATGGTCAGTGATGAAGAGGGAGTTGTTTTGGTCTTACAAGTTGGCTGCAGGAAAGAAACTTTACTCTGCATTGCCTTGTCCCAGAAGCAGCATGCTACGGTTTTTGTCAGCTTCTCTAAATCTTGAAACTAAATGAAAATCAACTGGCCAAGGCTCAATCTTCATGAAACTTGGGTGACAACAGCGGTCAATGAGAAGTGCACAAGGAAATCAGTGTTTGGGCCTCTATAAAACTACACTGTAAAATGAGACAGGTAGCTGTCTGCACCAGCTACAAGGAGAAATTAGTGGTTGGGAGGTTACAGTTGGAAACGCGGTACAAGCCCATGGAGGGTACAGTTTCTGAGCTTACTTGACTGTAGGAATTACGTCTGTGATTCATTACCTTTTGCTTAGGCTGCAGAAGGCCTGCCCCTTCCACACAGTCAGACTGATCTCGTTGACATGTTAATGAATAGCACTTCTTTCTTCCAAGCTGGAAAAGGAGTTACAAACCTGATTCTAACTTCTAGACTGGGATGTGGAAGTTATCGTTGAAACAGAGTTTTGGCATAGTGAAGCTTATTAGGAAAGTATGTGTGAAATCCTGTCTCAGGATAACTGTTCCTGTACACTCCAGGACGTGGTGTCTAGTAAATTTGCATGTTCTTGGGAAATACTGAAATTCAAAACTGTGTTCCTAAATAGAAGAATATTGCATTGTGTTGTATTTTAGATTTCTTAAATTCTCAAGGAAACATAGTGGCTAACTGCTTCATTACAAATAATGTTACCTTTAGAAAAAGTAACATCTCTGATTGGTTCAGCAAAGTAGAATTAAATCACTTATGAAAGCATAACAGAGAATAATTTCTGAATGGATTTTTTACTCAAGATGATAGTACTACATGCAAACCTGCCAAAGCTTGTATATTTTATTTTGACCTGCTCTGGTCAAGCTGCAATGGCAGCTTACTTTAGGAAGAGTAAGTGTTCGTTATTCGTATTGTGTTTCTCCTGGTATATTCTATTTATATGTTTGCTTCTTTGCTGAAGATTTAGAGGCACCAACTCCGTTGGAGAAAGTACATTTTGGACATTATTCATATTCATATGTACTTCGAAAAGGTTTATCTATAGCCTAAGGGAGAGTGTTTCTCTTTGTAAGTTGGAAATTGTGACATTCTTCTTATTCAAAAGAATTGTTGAGCGTATTATGGAATTCAGAAGAGTGTTTTAATAATTTAGTGTGTTCCCATCATTTACTTCGGGTTATTGAATATTTAGCACTGAATAAAGCTCCTCTGCTGTGAATTTAATTATATTTTTTTCATTGTTAATATTTCTGTGTAATAACATATGGATCTTACTGCTGTTCAATCTATAATTAACACTAAAAGGAAGAACAGAAGTTCTCTGCTGTCTGCCTAGCTCTTCAGATTTAGAACAGTAAATCCATGATACAATACTTTAAGTTCTGTTCAAAATTGAGCAATAACAGCCTGTGTGTTGTAGAATATTACATGTAATCTACCAGATGATTCATAAAAAATAATAACAAATGGGCTTCCTATAGCTGTTTCATTAAGAAGAACTAGATTTTGATCTTCTGTGAGAATTTCTGCCAGGGTGACGCATTGGGAAAAAATGTTAACAGTTCAGTTTGCCTTTAATATTGACTTTATTATTTTTAATGATTGCTGGGATGTATTTCAATTCCTTAGGAAGCATTTCTGTGCACGTACTAGTGATACTATTCCAATGATAAGTTTGCAATGTCATGTTGTAAGGAGCCAGGATAAGCTACTTTACCCTGAGGACAGGCAAAGGAGAAACTGAGTGTCAAGGAGGAGGAAGAATTTGGTATTGGCCAATACCAAGAGCATCTTTCTCCTCCACATTAATTCAGATCTGCCAGTCAATGTGGGAGCAAGCTGAATCGAGGATCTACTCATTCCTTGCCACTTTCTGCTCACAAGTGCTACTGAGAAGGGGGAACACATACTGACTGTGCTCAGATCTCTAATGTGAATAGCCCATACAAGGAAGCAAGAGGGTAACACCATCAAATTTCTCACTGATGTAATGGCTATGAGGATCTTGTGTTTAGTAATTAGCAAATCTGAGTAGTTTATTTCTCTTAATTTCATGCATATTAATGGAACTATTGCCTACTGCACAATTTGCTGTATCCTCATTTCTGTTTATATTTTGGGACTTTCACCCCTTCTCTGAAGGCGCATTCTCGTTGGTTCAGTCAGCACCAGTGGCTCTTGTATAACAGTTGCTGGATAATTTTTTCCTAAAAGTTCAACTTCCAATTTCTGCCCAACTTTGCTGAGTTCTGTGGGAACATATGCAAAAGCCAGACTCTGCTGACCACTGTAACTAAAACTGCCAGATGTGGTGTTGCCAATAACCTGAAAAAAAACACAAATATTTATCTTTATTTTCAAGATGCAGTGAGGTTTTCTTAAAAAAAAACCAAACAAACCAAATAACTATACATCTCATATACTGGTTTTGGTATACACACTTCAGACATCAAGCAAGTTTCAAGTGTGTCATGCAGTTTATAATATTCTCTACTGGGGGTGACATCACCTTGAACTGCGCATTTTTTGCTCCTTGAAAAAACAGTCTTGTCCTATTGTGTTCAATTAAGTTTTCACCAGAACAAACACTATACACATGCATATGTTTGTTATATACAATAATTTAACTGCTAGTGAGCGTTTCAACACGTAATCAGTGCTGAAGTGTGGAGGCCTAAACTTTGCTGTTTTTCTCTTTCTTTTAAGTGAATAGCAAAAGTGTTGTTAGGACAATGGTGAACTTGCAGGAGAAAAGAATGGATGAGTTAATACTTTAGTCTGTTCCAACTCTAGTTTCTGTGACTTGATGGTATTTCACATTTTCTTTGTAGATCTTTAGTTAGTCTTTTCTTCTTGCTTGAAGATTAGAAAACGCTTATCATAGCTTCAAATTGTTCTGTGCCCGTAAAACAAAAATAATGCATTCACACTTGAAACACAAAGTTAGATTCTGTTTGTGGAGAATTAACATTAGTTTCTTGTAACATGATCTATAGTCCTTACCTTGCCATTATGCCAAACACTTTCATTTCCCTCTGGATCGACGTTATCTGTTTCCAGGGTGAGATACACTAGTCGTCGTTTGAGCCCCTTTTCTTTAATCTGCTTCAGTGCTTGCTTTCCTGTAAAGTCTGCTGGCTGAAAAAAATGTAAGATAATGATGCTATATGGTTATTTGGGTTCTGCAAAAAGTTTAGAGATACAAGCGTTTAAATTTGTCTTCATTTGTTTTCCTATCACTTAAGTATTCTGTATGAAACATAGATGAAATAAAATCTTTGACAGATATTGTATCTTGTATCTTGGTGGTTTTATATTGGTACATTATATCTTGGTAACTTTATTGAGTATATTAGTTTTTCTAGTTCTCAGTCCTTTAATATCCGTAATTCCAAATGCAGTAGAAATACATATGTAGTGAGACGTGTGTTACAAGACTGACTGCCCAGTTAATGTTGTGAGCCAGAAAACTGCGTTTCATTTCAGTTTCTATAAAAACCCTGCAATACCAACACTCAAATCCTAAAGCCCTGGCCTCCCTATGTGGACACACATCCTTTTTGATGCCATCAGCAACCACGACAGTAAGTTGTTACTATTCCACTTTGGTGTCTCTGCCAGGCTGCAGAGCTGGCAGTTTGCTCCATATTCTTGTTTTACGGTATGTTTTTTTCTCCCCTATCTACCATTTTATGGGATAATGCAGCATGTTACTTAAAAAATAATACTATCATTTGGAGTTCCCTTTTTCAGCTTGCGTAAAAAGGTACAAGCAGATTGTCATATTTCTAGAAGCAGGCTGCATAAATGGGTGACAAGTATGGGGGGAGCCATCAGAAAGTCTCTGAGTCCTAAAGGGTATATAAAACAGTATCTATTGCATGTGATAATATTGAGCTGATTCCACTGAACTAGTCTGATTCCATGGCCAGGTTCACAGATATAAGTTTATTTTGCCTACCAGTAGCTGTGAACCTGACTTTTCTCACATTGTTATCTCCTAGGTCTTAAGTGTAACTCAGACAACTTCCTTATTTAGTTGGCTGGGTAGAGAATAAAATGCAAAAAGAAGCCATAGAAAGAAGATTTGTTATAATCTTTGTGGTCCTGCACAGAATGCCTCAAGAACCAAGAGAAAGCCTCTTTCAAAGATGCTGGCAGCTTGGACAGAAGATAGAATAGTAATCAGGCTGGATATCATTATTGCTGATAACTGTGCAGTAAATATTAGGAACAGTGGCTTACAAAGTCTGCCTCTTCATTTATTCTTTAAAGGTATAGATCAGGCAGAAGAAAAGATTTGTATTCAGCTAATTTCCCAGATCCACACCGGCCTGCCCCCATGGGCAAGAACCATAATAGCAGCTACAAGTTCCTCTAGCTTTCCAGCCTTTGCTGAGAAGATGAGTAGCAGTGAAAGTTATTTTAAGACACTTGATCTTAGGACACTGTGACAGCTCTAGTAGGTCTGAAGCAGGAATTATATCCATCTGATGTGTGTTTAAGAGAAAAGAAGGGAAATATTGTTGAAGACATCAAAAATACTATTTCTGGTAATGTTCTTTAATTTCTGTAAAGAATTATTGCACTGTCAGAATTACAAGCAACACATACTATACTTGTACTTGGAATAGATTATTATGCAGTTAGTTCATCAGTTCTTATTTCTGTAGTTCTTGTTCAGGTTCACATATGTCTATGTGTAGGCTCAAAAGCAATTACTAAAGCGATGAGGAGTTTTTGAACTCTGAAAGATTAGACTCTGTAAGCACTAGTGGAAAACAGCTTAAGAACCAGTTATGGAGCAGTTAGTCTGAAAAGCAAGGTGGACCAACTGAGGATAAGGCAGGTGTTGCACATAAGGATCACAGATGGCCCCCTTTGAGAAAAGACAGCATGAAATACAGCCCAGATCAGAAAAAGAAGGGATTGTCAGGATTCATTTTGGAATATAACTTTCAAGATGCTGCTGGGAAAGATAAAGCAAAGATCTCAGACCAGACAATAACCAGCTACTGGCAGCTCCCTCTCGCTTTATAGAATTACATTTCTACTACACAGGAACATTTATGAAAGGAAACACCTACAACAGAATCATAGAATAGTTTGGGTTGGAAGGGACCTTTGAAGGTCATCTAGTCCAACCCCCTGCAATGAGCAGGGACATCTTCAACTAGATTAGGTTGCTCACAGCCATGTCCAACCTGACCTTGAACATTTCGAGGGATGGGGCATAAACCGCCTGTCTTGGCAACCAGTTCCAGTGTTTCACCACCTCATTATAAAAAATTTCTTCCTTATATCTAGTCTGAATCTGCTCTCTCTTAATTTTAAATTTTTGTCCTATTGCAACAGGCCCTACTAAAAAGTCTGTCCCCATCTTTCTTATAAGCCCCCTTTAAGTACTGAAAGGCTGCAATAAGGTCTCCCCACAGCCTTCTCTTCTCCAGGCTGAACAGCCCCAGCTCTCTGATCATTTTTGTGGCCCTCCTCTGGACCTGCTCCAGCAGGTCCATTCCATGTCCTTGCTGAGGACCCCAGAGCAGTACTGCAGGTGGGGTCTCACCAGAGCAGAGTAGAGGGGCAGAATCACCTCACCTCCCCTGCTGGCCATGCTTCTTTTGATGCAGCCCAGGGGAACGGTGCGCTGATGGCGT